GCTTTTAGGGATTCTGTGATTCCGAAAGGTCCCGGGATGAAGGGCATCTCTCAAGATGAGTGTTTCCGACGACTCCGATGCGCCCTGTGAGCCGGGGATGGGGTGGGCTTCCTCCCCTGACAGCACAGCTCCCCTTGGGGGGGGCCCCGAAGCGGGGAGCACCCTCCTCCCACCCGGTTAGGGGCTCCGGTCGTCTGGGAAAAGAGCAGGTGGAGTAAAACAAGCAGAAATAGCCCCGGGAAAGAGAAGGCGGGCTTCTGTGAGGACGAGGCTGACAGCCTCACAGCCTGATACTAAGTGGTCAGGTTTCCACGGCAGCTAAGGACGGGGCCAACCGTTTGCAGAATTCTCCTCAAACGTCGTGGTTATGGCTGAAAATGTCTAACCTGTTGAGAATCGGAAGAATGACCTACGGGCCCCTCGTGTTCTCACCATTAAGAGCTCTTATTAAGATGCACCAGATGCTGTCGCCCGGCCATCAGTGTAATAACACCAGGGAGCCTTTAACGTTACTAAGGGGACGGGGAAATGTGCTGGTGACGCTGACGTTTTATGTATTTGGTACAATTGTGTGCTTTTACGACGGATAACCAGGCATCAGGACTGAGTCATTCATTCTCCTACCTCGTGGACAAATACTTTACAGACGAATCCCCGTTTAATCCGTCAAACATGCTACTGGCTAGGAGACATGCTCGGACTGTCGGGAGCGTTTTGTTTGGGGGCTTAGTTTAGGTGAAAGGTAGACGGGCGAGGACATCCTTTCTCAGCCACGGACAGTCCTCGCCGCAGGAAGCTCGGGAGGCAGCGGCGAGCAGCCCTGCCGGGCGTGGGGGGCGGGGGGGGGGGCAGACGGCGCCCGCCTTTCTCCTGGCAGCAGCCTCCTGTGCAGACGGTGTAGACGCGCCCTCGGACGGGCAGGGACTCAGGCTGCCAGGCACCGGGCCTCGAGCGCTCTCGTGCCCCTGAATGAGTCGCTGTGGACTCGGTGCATCTTAGAGAGACGGGGGGATGGCTTTTTGGCATCACCTCCAGGCGCAGGCCTGTGTCGCCGGAGCGCTCTTCCCTCTGCCGGAGCCGGAGCCTGAGAGCCAGGAGCTGGGAGCCGGGAGCTGGAGCCGGAGCCTGTGAGCCCCCCCCCACCCCCCCCCCCCGCCTTGGTTTTTAAGATGGCCCGGCCCAGCCCCTTTGGGACCTTGGCTCACACGACACTGCACGCACAGAGGTCTAGCAGATCTTTCTGAACACCCGTGTGTCTGGCGCTGTGTCGCCAGGTAACAGGCAGCTGCCGACAACATGTCTGTTGAACACCCAGGACCTCTGCACCGGGCTGCACAGACGCGCACGGGGCTGCGGCTCAGGTTTCAGTTCCCGGCGTCACCGGAGACCCCGAGCCCAGCGATGCTTCCCTGGGCGGCGTCTCAGCGCCCCCTGGAGGGCTCTCGGCGCCTGGCTTGCAGCAGGGTCCCCGCACCTGACGGGCTGTGCGAGCTGCCTCTCCCGCCTGCATCTCCCCCAGATCCATCCTGACACCTCCCTGCCCCTCCTGGGGGCGCAGCCTCCCGCCTGTCTCTGCCGGGTGGGTGTGCGCCGACCAGGGGTCCTCGCACCAGGAGGCAGGCTCTGCCTGTCACGCGTGGCTGTGCTGGGGCCTTTGTCCCGTCAGCCACTCGCCTTTCACACGGGAGCGCGGCCTCTCCTCAGCCTGTGGCTTCCGGCGAAGGGGGGAACCCCGGGGCTCAGAGCGCTCTCGGGGCTCAGCAGGCGATGAGCAGATTCCCACGTGCCCGTTGGCCGGGGAGTCGCTCTCAGCTCGCGGGGGCTTCCTGGGGCCGCCGCCTGGCGCCGGGGGTTAGGCCCGTGGTCCTGCCGCGTGGACAGGACAGCGTGACAGGACTGAGCGCCTCTCGGAGCGGGACGTCCCCTCGGGCCCCGCTGCTCAGAGGCCCGTCCCTGCACATTGAGACTAAGCCGTCTGTGCGCACAGGGTTCAAGAGCACCCCCTCTTTCCAGCTGCCCAGGAGCGGGTGCCCGTGCCGCCCAGCTGCCCCCGCGGAGCTGTCGCAGGGTCACTGGGCCAACCCGCCCACTGCCCGAGGGGGCAGCACCAGGGCTGGCCCACGGGCACGGGCTCCGCGCAGCGTCCCCCGCTCAGCCCCGCGCTGGGTCAGCGCCCGCGGCGCCCTCTCCACCCGCAGTCTGGGGTTTCACGTTTGCTTATGGGTCTGTTTATTGGGTGGCGTTGTTCATGACAGTGTCCAGTTCCCAGGGTGCAGTTCTACAACCCATCGTCTGTACATTGTGGTGTGTGTCCACCACCCACGTCTCATCCCCCGTCATCACCATTCGCCCCCCTGCCCTCCCCCTTGCCCTTTCCTCTGCCCGTTGTTGCCTGTGGAGCTCTGGGTAGCTCTTTGCTGACTCCCTTCGCTCTTTCCCCCCCAGCGCCCTCCCCACAGCTGCAGGCTGTTCTGCTTCTCGGAGTCGGGGTCTGCTTTGTTGGGTGGTTGATTTTGCTCACTGGCTCCCACATTTGTGACGGGCAGTTTCAGCGTCCAAGTCTGCTTCCGAGGAGGGGCTTTTACCCGGCAGCCCCGACTCCCGCGGTTTGCTCGGCTCCCAGGCGGTGCCCGCAGGCGTGGGGCGGGCGGTGCGGGAGCCCTAACCTGCCCTCTGCCCGCAGACTGCCCCTTCGGCACCTTCGGGATGGACTGCAGGGAGACCTGCCGCTGTCCGCTGGGCGTGTGCGACAGGGTGACCGGCCGGTGTCTGCAGCACCTCTTCCTCCAACAGGCGGCCGCCAGGTCCCCCGACAGAGGTGCTCCCGGAACAGGTGAGCCTGGGGCCGGGACGCGGGCGGGCGTTGCACTGAGGGTCCGAGTAACCGAGGGGGAGTGGGTTGCTCCTGCTGTTTTTTTAAAAAAGATCTTATTAATAATTTAGAAGATGATATAATTTCTCATAAAGCTTACCCAGCTTTTATGGAGGATAAACAAGATCAATGACACCCCCCCAAAAAACACGCCCCAAAACACACCTGTAATAAAAAGAAAAACCAACGAAGACAAAAATGTTCTTGAAACTCTTCAGTGCCTGTCTGATGGACGTGCTACTCGTGGTCGGCAAACTGCGGCTCGCGAGCCACGTGCGGCTCTTTGACCCCTTGAGTGTGGCTCTTTCACAAAATACCACGTGCGGGCGTGCACATACAGTGCGATTGAAACTTTGTGGCTCATGCGCAGAAGTCGGTATTTTGTGGAAGAGCCACACTCAAGGGGCCAAAGAGCCGCATGTGGCTCGCAGTTTGCCGAGCCCCAGTTTGCCGGCCACTCTGCTAGACAAAGCCGCTCCTCCCAGCCTCCATACAAGGACTCAGGAAGTCAGGGGATACGGTCTAAGAGCCGAGAGGGAGCACAGAAAACGCGTTTTAGCCAAATGGAAGCGTTTAGTGGCGTAATTCCAAGCATGTTTTCTGTGGACCTCGGAGAGGAGCAGAGAGGCGTCTGTGGCTGGAACTTGGGGATCATCTCTGACCCTCGGCGCGGGGCCGAGGCGGTCCTCACAGGCTGCTCGCCAGCCCACGGTGTCTCTTACTGGGTCGTGGGAACACAGCCGGGGCCGCACGCCCCGCACAGCTTGGCTTTCTTGTTGAATAAATGTCCGGTCCAGTCCAGCTTCGATGGAAAGTAGCTCATTTAAAACGACATGTAGCCACAGAACTAGTATCAGTAAACCACACCCCCCACCCCTTGTATTTAAATACTTGACAATCCAAAGCCACTTTATTTAGGGTTTTTTCCCCGGCCCTTTGCAACTCAAATGAATTAAGATTAGAAATCGCTGGCAAATGGGCTGTTTCCCAGCTCCCCCTCCTTACACATGGGTGCAATTCAGCGCCTTACGATTAAGGGGAAATAATGAGCTTTTATTGTAAGTATGGCTATGCCCTTAAATATTAGTTTAAAATAAAAACCCTTCTTAGCCTATTTGCTGAGTAACGGTGTGACTGACTATTTGATGTGGAAATTTAGATCATTATTAACGTTTCAGCTACTTGTGAATTGTCCCCATGGTCCTTGAAAAGCAAAAAGGAAATGAAGACCTACATTTGTGTGTTGAGGTGGTGTTCACATCATATACATTAACAGTTTTAAAGTGATGGGTTCCGTGGCATTTGGTGTATTCACGACGCCGAGTGGCCACCACCTCGAGATGGTCCCAGGACATTGTTCTCAGCCCCCAATAAAACCCCAGGCCCCAGCCCTCCCCCCCCGCCCCGTTCCTCATGTTCTCCGTCCACAGCCGCGGCTCTGCGCCCGAGAGGGGGTTTGGAAGGTCTGATGCGTTTACTGCGGGGCTCACCCCGCTGTGTGCGGCTCCCTGCCGAGCACTTGGCTGTTTATTTATTTGCTTTCTGAAAACCAGAGGCCAGAGAACCGAGGACACAGCATCACACCCCTCTGCATCGTGTAAGGTCGCACCTAAGCTTTCCCACCGAGAGAAACGAACCCCTCGGGAGCCTCTGTGGTCGGGGATGCGCGTGGGGGAGGCCGGCGAGGGGCCCCTCCCGGTGCCCCCCTGTGTCCGCCCCGCACAGCGCGTCCCCCCCCCCACAGGGCGCGTGCAGGCTCCTGCCCGCAGCCTCGCGAGTGTGGCTATGGTGGCCGCTGTACAGACAGGCGCCTCGGGAGCATTCTGCAGGACGGAAGTGACATTACAGTCACACTCTCTCCCCAAATCCGCGACCAGCTTCTCAGGGAAGCATGTTCTGAGCCAAGGAGTTTCCTTGCAGGATTAGCTAAGGAGCTGGCCAGCGTGTAAGCTCGGGGGCCTCAGGCAGCTCAGGGCCGAGAAGGGGTCCCCTAACCACCTGTGACTGGGCGCCCCGGAGCCCGCAAGCCGCTGTGCGTTTCCTCGCGGGAATTTCGGGGGTTCCCACACTGAGGTTCCCAGGAGGGGGTTTGGGGCCAGGGTCCTGTCCGGGCTTCACGTCGCCTCTGCACAGGCTGTGTGGGCTCCGAGGGTCACCCGCACAGGGGCCCCCGGAGGGCAGGCCCCCCTCATTCCACCAGGTCGTCGCCTCGACTTCCTACCTATTGGGTATAACACCCTTGGCAAGCGAGCTTCCTGGCTTCCTCTCTCTCTCTCTCTCTCTCTCTCTCTCTCTCTTTTTCTCCCCGCTCTCCCCCCCCAGACTGGAAATTCACAGCAACTTTTTGGGGTGCGGGAGGGGTGGCAGCATCTGAGCTGGTCCGTGGCTCACACACGGCGCCTCCAGCTGCCGGAACCTTCCAGCCTCCCGCTTCGTGCATGCGCTGCTGCGGCTGCCAACACCTCGCTCCCCTCAGAAGCAGGAAACCCCCATCCGAGCGCATTCTAAGCGTGACACGCTTTTCTCCCGGAGAGGAGAGCGAGGCCTGTCTTTATAGACGTCCGCCCTTCCGTCCGCCTGGAGCCACACCAAGGGCCTCCTCCTCCTCCTCCTCCTCCTCCAGGCCAGGAGCGCGGGCATCTCCGAGAGCGCTGTCCGCACAGCCCTGCTGACACGCACATGTTCATTAAGCACCTGCTGTGCTCCAGGCACGGGTGTGGCAACAGGCAGAACGCAGCCCTTGCCGTGGCGCTGGTGGTCTGGTGGCAGAGTGAGGTGACACAGGAAAGAAGGAGGAAAGCCGCGCGGGCAGTGCACTGTGAGATGATGTCTCGGTGCCGGGTGGGAAGAGAGGCAGCTCAGGGTGCCCTCGGGGGGAGGCGCGGATCACGGGGAGCGGAGGGCACAGGCAGCGCAGCCCTGCGCGTGCTCAGGGTGTCACTCCTGACCCTGGAGGCCTAACGGCTGGTCCCAGTGCGTTTCTCCCGTTTCAGAGCCTGACGCCGGGTCTGGCGACGGCAACGCCGTGACGCAGGACCTCCGGAGCCAGCACGCCGCCCGCTCTCCCGGCACCAAGTGGTTTAGAGCCCCGCTGACCCCGCGGCGCTCCGAGCAAAGACTGTCTGACGAGCATCGACCCCCAGCCGACACTAGGAACTTCGCTTGTAGCATAGGCCGGTGCACCTTCTGGAGACCAGCAGACTCAGGGCGGGCTCAGAAGTAAGAGCAGCTACTAACACCCTGGCAGCCGCCGCCGCCGAAACCTTAGCCTTTGCAACACATTCGAATGCATGCAGCCGTGTCACATGCGCGTGTAGAGTAGTGCTGAAGGACGGAACGCCACCAGGCCACGCGGGCACGTCAGCCGGAGGAGACAGCCGGGCCGAGGTCACAGCGCGGCCCCGTCCCTCGCTCGGATGTACGTGAACTCTGGGATGCACACCGACGTGTGTCAGGCGGAGGAAGGGCTCGGAGCAAGAGAAGATGGGGGTGGGGGGTGGGGGGTTAGGACAGGCGGGTCCTCCTTGTCACTGTCTCCGTAGAATGTCATTGGGCTTCCTTTCACTTTTGGAAAAACCGAAGCAGAACCGTCCCCGAGGGCCGGGGCGGCGTGCAGCGGGTGGAGTGGGCGTGGCAGCCTCGGACGGGGCGCTCCCGGGCTCGGGTGGCTCCGGCGCCGGCTCTGGCATGCGCACTGGCAGAACCAAGGGGGCTGGGAAGTATGTGGCCCACTTGGGGGAGGTGTGATGGTAAATATTTATGTTTTTGTGCACGGTTGTTAGTACGAGACACCCCCACGCCTATATTTATCACCGTCTTGGGCAAATGAACCTAATATTGTTTAAAATGCTTAGAACAAAGATCCAAGGCACGGGACATTTTTATTAATAATTATAGTAATATTATAGTGAGAACGCATAATAGGAACCTAGAAAATCGAGTCACTGGATTTATCAAATGTCACAAAATGAGCAACAGAGAGAATTTATTTAAAAGTACGTGCAGGGACTCTGACAAGTGTTAAACTTAAAGTAGAAAATAGCTTTAAGGGAGGTTTGGAAAGGAGCCAGTTTCACAGGGAACGCCAGCTGTAAAGCCGAGTTCCTTTCGTACTTTTCACCTTTAAATGCAGTTGGTACACGGAATTATGAGCGCCCCTGGGAGGACCTGTGCGCAAACAGCACTGTTTGCCGGAGTTGGTGGGGAAATATTTGCAGAAGTGTTTTATCTGGAGTAAAGACTTATTTAAGAACTATTTCAGTATTTACCTATGTTTTATTCTCAAAGTTTGCCAACAAAGCCGTGAGTGTGTGTGCCGAGCGGTCTTTGAATGTAAACGGAATAAGCTGTTGGAATTTGTTTTTAAGGGACATGTTTATGATTGTTCAATAAAAAAGCAAGACAGCTGTCCTGAGTCCATTTGTGATTTTGTTAAATCGTTAGAAGTTATTTAAATGGTTCGTTCAATGAACCAGAACTCTTTCATACACATGGAAGGGCGAGTTCCACACCGGAATTTTCTGCTCCAGATCAGCATCTGGGGTCAAAACCAGCATGTCTACTTCTTTGCCTCCCAGTTTTTGTCTGCTTGTGCCTCACAGCTTCCTACCAGTGATGTACCGATGTATGAGCCCATTCTACAGAGGGGAACACAAAGGCCAAGGAGACTCTGCCGGTGCTCCGAGGTAGGCGACCCTCGGTGCTCGTAAAGGACAGGCGGGCGCTGTTGAGGCTCGAGGGCTGCGCAGCGAGGAGTGCGGAGGTCCCCTCAGCCTGGCGGGCAGGTGATGGACGCGCTTCCAGGGAACTGATACAGCACGAAGACACTTTTATCTGTATTAGGGGAAGCATCCAGTTTGCCTGAATTAATCCCCCCCCGTTTTGTTTTTTTTAAATCCTCACCTGAGGACACTTTTCCCATTGATTTTTAGACAGTGGAAGAGAGAGGGAAAGACAGAAACATCGACGTGAGAGAGACATATGGATGGGTTGCCTCCTGCACGCGCCCGACCAGGGCCGGGCCGGGGAGGAGCCTGCAACCGAGGTACATGCCCTTGACCGGAATCGAACCTGGGTTGGGACTCTTCGGTCCGCAGGCCGACGCTCTATCCACTGAGCCCAACAGGCCAGGGCTCTTTTTCCTTTTTCTTGAGGTGGGAGAAGGATGTGAGTGAGCGACAGTTACACTCACGCAAGAGGTAGTGTCGTCACTAATCGGAACGGAAAGCACTGGAAGTCTTGGCCTGCAGGCTGGGCAGTGACGTTGCAGGATGTGCTCTCAGGGAGTGAGGTCACTGAAAGATCTGCTGCCGTGGCCAGAGGCCTGGGCCTCAGCCCAGTGCCTGAGGGGTGGCGGGGACAGAGGGGCAGGAGCTAGACGAGGAGGGGTTGGCTTCTGCCCCCCGCACGGCACCCACCCCCCGTGAGACCTTGGGCAGTAAAGTCAAACCAAGGCGGGCGCACCTGCTCTCAGGGGCAGGGGAGTCTCCAGCTGCCCAGCCTCATGCCCGGGGCCTGTGCCCTTCCCTCCCAGTGCTGGTGTCTGTCCGTCCCCAACGGCTCTGCAGTCTTCCCACTATTCTTCACAGCAGTGGGCTCCACATGTTTGGATTCTGCACGCTTTGATGGCAAAATTTTTGAGCATGTGATTTTAAACTAGATACACAGCATAGTCTTAATACAATATCTATAATAATAAAAGCATAATATGCTAATTAGACCAGACAGCCGAACAACCTTCTGGACATCCTTCCAGATGACCTTCCAGACGAAGCTGGGGCTGCAAGGACTGAGGCAGCCACTGAGGCTGTGAGGGCTGAGCCCCTTACATGAATTTCATGCACCGGGCCTCTAGTGTTCATCATAAAACACTCAAGCTAGGAACTTTTAAAAGCCATACAAAATAAATGTAAACAGTAGTTCTGAATTTTTTTTTCCTGAACCCCATGGACCAATCTGGGAAACACCAAAGAAGCAAAAGAAAATGCCAAGGTCAGTGGTCTCCAACGAGGCCCAACCTCACTGATACTGAAGAGAAAGCAAGTTGACATATATTCCATGTAATAAATACTTCTGCAATGAATGGGTGAATGCATGAGAGGAAGGGTAAATGGGTAGATAGGTAGGTAAAGGGATGAATGAGAAGAGGGATGGATGGATGAGAAGAGGATGGATGGATAGATGGGTGGACGGACAGTTGGACAGATGGATGGACGGATGGGAAGAGGGATGGATGGATAGATGGATGGACGGACAGATGGACAGACGGATGGATGGATGGATGAGAAGAGGGATGGATGGATAGATGGATGGATGGACAGATGGATGGATGGACGGATGGATGGATGGGCAGAGGGATGGATGGATGGATGGATGGATGAGAAGAGGGATGGATGGATGGACAGATGGACGGATGGACAGATGGATGGATGGGCAGAGGTATGGATGGATGGAAGGATGAAACAGGTGACAGCCTTCTGTCTCCCACAGAACAGCAGCTACTAAGGGGTCTTTCACCTGCCAGCTCCCTGTTCCCCAGACGGCTGCTTGTCCTGCCTCCTGGGACATGAGTGACTGAACACGTGAGCATACGATCGAGTCAGTAAAGTGGACAAGTAGGTTGGCCAGGGTAGCAGAGAAGGGGAGCTCTGCTCCCTCAAGCATTGGGGACATCCTCCCTTCCCCACCATCAAGGTGGAGACACCTCGATTTACATGACTCCCTTCCCCCCAGTTGGAGAACAGCTGTTTTCTAAAGTGACACCTTCATTGGGTTTCCCCCGAAACATTCACCTTTGTGTCCATGGAAACAATTGCCTCTTTGCATGGCTGGTCACTGAGCTGCACAGTATTTAAGTTGGAGCAGTGGTGACGGGCACAGACGTGCAGCAGGCGCTTGGTGATCTTCTACTGCAGCCGCTGGCCATGCAGGTGCACCCCAGGGGTCTCCTCGAGCATCTCCAGGGACATCCAGAGGCAGCGGTTACCAGGGGACGGAGACGCGCTGTGATTTCAGCAGACGGTCACGTGGAGGCTGCCTGAGCGTCTCCACTGTATGGTGAGTGGAAAAGCCTGCTGCAATGCCCTCTGAATAATCTTCTTTTGGGAAAAAAACATATAAATATAGAGATATTCCTATTGGTGCTTATCTTGTCCTTTATATTTTTAGCTAGTTCCTGAAAACTTCAGTTAGTGTGACAATTGGGAAAAAGAATAAAGCCCCCTCCATTTTTGAGCATTTAAGTTGAAGCAAATGAAAACAAAGCAGTGGTTTGCTACGTACACAGTGACGTAGGAACAGAACCCTGTATTTCCGTCGTTCTGAGATGGCCTTGGTCATCTTGGCACTTTGGTAGATATCGAAATAGGGTTTCAAACCAAGTAAACGTAGGGAATCATGGTTTCCTTATAACCCCCAGGAAGGCTGCCAGGCACGGAGCCCGCGTGGCACCTCTTCTGGAACAAATGCTTGGTCCCACGGAAGCCAGGCCAGGGAGTCCTCGGAAGGGAGGGAGGACGGTCCCTGCATCTAAGCTCACGCCTTACAATGCAGTGACCTCTGCTCCTGCCCAGGTGTGGCTGCCCAAGCAGGTGGCCAGGCCACCAGGGCGTTGGATTTTTTAAAAATATATGTTTATTGATTTCAGAGAGGAAGGGAGAGGGAGAGAGAAAGAGAAACATCCATGATGAGAGAGAATCATGGATCAGCAGCCTCCTGCACGCCCCACACTGGGGATCGAGCCCGCAACCCAGGCAAGTGCCCTGACTGGGAATGGAACCGGGACCCCCTGGCTCCTAGGTGGACGCCCAGTGGCTGGCCACCAGGGTTTTAAGGCATTTCCTGACACCTGGGGAGTTGGCAAACATTTCCTGTGTTTGTTGTGTCTCGAGAAAACAGGAATGCACAGCGTGGAAGTGATTATTAAACACGTCGGGGTGACCTTCACTTCGGCGGTTCCCAGGGTGAGGTTCATTCTCTGAAACTCGATCACCCCGTTTCTCTGAAGGGAAAGGGTCATCGGCATAGCGATCTGGCCGCCGACTGAGCGGTAGGAGGGACCCTGTGGCCCGGGCTGCGCGGTCCGGACGTTACCAGAAGCCCACGGGCTGTGACCCTGAACAGCAGCTCAAGGAGACAGGGAGCCACACGTGCCTGTGACAGCTCT